CACAGAGTGTGAAAATCTGTTGGAATTCAGTGCAAGGGAAGCGACTTCATAAATCAGATTTTTAGTGTGTGAATGATAAAATGTGTTGTAACTGATCATTTGGTGTATTGAAAGGTGTAAGTGATTTTAATGTCTGGGAGAATGGAGTGTTCAGGGAGGAGGAAAAGGTAAAAAGCACTGGGGGGCATCGTGGAGTGGGACGTGGAAAATGAGGAAAATGGTCCTAAAAAGGGAATTCCAGAGGAATTACACGTGATGGTACAAGCTACAGTGATTAACAACATTTAATTTGTTACACTAATTACTCCACAGGATGCTGAAGTTATAGGGCTGCTATTGAAATGTCATGTTACTTGGTTCCTTTAAGTGATAATTACTTATATGTGTGCTCGTGTATGACCACAAAAAAAAAAAGATTGAAAGCAGCAAAGTGGTGCTTCAAACCTTTCTGTCCTAAGTTGATACAAGGCCTAATTTAATATAATGACTAAATGTGTGATAATAAAGCTAAATTACACAGCATTGCTACGTGGAAAAAAAAATGCAGTGAGTCAGCCTTTCCCAAAATCATGAGGGGAAATGAAAATGAGCTTTAAACGATTGATAAATCGGATTATTTGATTTTACTCCTGGGTTTTGGGTCTCTGGAACAGCTACACTTCCCACTGTCGGGCAACACAGGGAGCGAGGGACTCTCTGCCTCTGAAATTTTATCTTATAACTGAGATTTTTCACACTGTTCCTTGATTCCAGCAGCTGAGGCTTTCGGGGGGGGGAATTGCCAAGGAGTGCTGCAGCATAATTACACAGGAGCTGGCAGCAGGGGCTGGAACATCCCTGGAACCAATCCAGAGCTGCAGGGCCACATCCCAGTCCCCCCTGAGTGGGAAATTCTCGGGCAGAACAGACCTCATTGTTGGAGAGATTAAAAATTTACAAAATTACAGGCGAGGAGCTCCAAACACCCCTCCTGTTTATACGACAGAACTCACGCCAGGCCAGACCCACAATATTCCAGGCAGGAAAAATTGCTACATCCACAATAGGAGCTCTGTTTGTGCTGAGGATGGGGAAGGAATCGGGGCATTTTTATTAAAAGTGGGTCTGACTGACTCCGGAGGGAGTTTGAATTGTGCATTTAAGGAGGTTTTGCTTTGCTGGAAGGGGTTTTTTTAATCTGGCTGAGGGAGGTTTCCAGCTCGCTAAAGCAGCTGAAACTTCCACAAGGGCTCGGGAGCAAAAGGAGCTGCTGCTAAAATGAGTGTTTCTTTAGGATTTCACGAGGGAAAAATCGATTTAACACCTTTAAGAAGGATTGAGAAACCGCTTGTGGGTAAAGTTATAAGAAAAAACGTTTGTGTTCTGAAAGCAAAAAAAAAGTGAGGAATTTTATACACAGAGTGGTGGACTCAGGATAATTTAAATTCCTTGAGTACAACACACAAAGAAGCTCATGTTCATAACAAGGCACCACTAAACTTGGCTAAATCTGGTGCATCCATGCTTTTAGAAATAAAGTTGCAATCCTATGATACTTTCTTTTCGTCCCCCACTCTCCTTTCTGTGCTGTGGGGATTTGTGGGATCTTTCAAGTGGTTTTTTTTTTAAAAAAAAAAACTCTTACCTTGGGTCTGTGTTATGTGGAAGGAAAAAATACTTTGCCACCAGCGAGGTTTTTTGGAAGTGTTTGTCCAATTCCAGTCTGTGTCTGTTCAATCTGATGGAAGTTAAACTGATTATCACTGCTTTAATGTAGAGCAGAGCTAGATAAAATTAATGTAAATCAAAATGAGTGCAAACAGCTGGTTTTAAAGCCTTTCCTGAAAGCTCCCACTCGCTTCCTCTCTTTGACTTAACGTGGTTTTTTTAATTTCTTAGGGAGTTCAGCCAGGGCTGGGCAATGGGCTGTGCATCTCCATCTGCTGCTGGGACACCGGTGTTTGGAGAACTGCTTAATCCACGCTGGAAACGGAGAGGTAAATGTTAAATATTTAACAAGCTAAACTCATAACATTAGCTAAGAAGGGTCATCCCATTTGTTGCTATAAACTAATTTGTTTACAGGGCAGAAAGCATCAACCTCCACCCCTGGTCCCCTTAAGCAGTCGCTAAACTCCTGCTAATGGATGCACTTTAGTGCTGATATTTCTAGGAGCCCTGTGTTAGCATTTGGCAAACATTTATTGCAGAAAGGGGTGTTTACTTTGGAGATTGCTTTTGGATGTTTCTGCTTCCCTTCTTCATCACTATGAGCATGAACTCAGTCGCCTCCAATATTAGCTCAGTTTTGATTTGTGTTTCCACAGTTTTCTCTTTGCCCTATAAAAATAATATAGAATAAAATAGAACAGAATAAAATAGAATAAAAAAATAAAATAAATAAAATAAATAAAATAAAATAATGACTTTAAAAGTACAAGTTTAAGTGAGGGATGACAGACCTCAGAGTACCGAGCACACCCATGGAGTTACCTCAGCACTTGTTACCCCCCGACCTACACTGAAAATTTACAAGAAACACATGGTTTTGTTTAGGATAAAGTCTCTGTGTCAGATTGGTGGTGAAAATCTGTCCCCAAAAGCACCTAAATTGGTGAATGATGTGAATATAAAGCAGAGCTGAGGGGATTCTGGCCCTGCTGCTGGTGGTGGCTGGGTTGTGGTGTGAGGAGAAACACCAGAATCTGCTTCTTTTTCCCTCATTCCAGGCTGGATTTGCTCCCCAGGCCTCAATATTTTATGGAATGGGTAATATTTGGCCCTTTTAGCTGTGTTTTTGGGTCAGATTGAGCCGGGGTATGACAGACCTTTAGGCCAAAGGATGGGCCAGGCTGTGCCCTCAGCCACGGCCCCTCTGCCCACAACCGGCCAAAATTTGGGGCCAAAGGGCTGAAATCGGGGACCTGCGCCCCAAAACCTCCATGAAGACACCAGAGAGGGTCTCACAGTCGGTGGTACTCACGCTAAAACACTTTATCAGCCGTTTTTTACCTCAGGGAAACCCGCTCTCCACAACCCCCCTCGGCTGGGTGCCCACAGGGAGCTCTGAGGGGAACAGCGGGGGATGAGGGGGTGTGTGGGGAGCACCAAACCCCGTGTCCCCGTGGGGGGGAAAAAAGAACACAGCCCCCCATTTCTTAATTACTGTCATTAGCGAAAATCAAATTTTTAAAGCGTTATTTCAGTATCCGCTGGGGTTTAAGAGGGGGTCTGGGCGTAGCAGCAGCGGCAGGTGTGCACAGGCAGCACAGCTGTGTTTGGGTACCTCACTCGGGAGCAGAAATGTTGGCAAACATTAAAAAAAACCCCAGCGTTTAAGTTTCAGGGCGTTGGTTTTCAGTGAGGCCGGGGGCGGCCGCAGGCGCGTTGGAGGGGTGGAATCGCCACAAACAACAGCAGTGTGTCACTCCGGCAGTGTTTCCGCGGTGCTTTACTCCAGCGGCGTTTCGTCAGCGTTATTAATAATAACTCCGCCCCGTTTTTACTCGAATTTAGGCGAATTTTGAGTCAGAACGACTTTCCCGCGCTTTCTCCCGCGAGGGGGGGAGGGGGCGGAGCCCACGGGGTTTTCCCGCCCTCGTTGTCTCCGCCCATCTTATGAATATTCAAATATAACCACGCCCCCTCTGGTAGCGGAAAGCGCGACCCCTCATTACCAGGCGCTGCGTGGTCACGCCCACCTAATGAATAATTAATGAGGCGCTGGGAGCGCGGCTTTGGGGGCGGCGGGATTTTTGGGATGAGCTTTAGGATCCCTTCCAAAACCCTTTCCGTGGTCCCGTGGCTCGGCCTGCGGAGTCGTTACTGCGCGAAGTCGCGATCTCTCCCCTGTGGGAATGGTGTCATTCCATGAGCCGCGGCCTCGGGAAAACCCCCTCTGTGAGAGCTGCAAATGCCCAGCTCGCTGCAGACCGGTTTTAAAAATAACTGTTTCTCGTTATAAATTCTGACCCCCCCGAAGTCGCTGACTATTCCCGAGTTACTATCCCGAGTAACTATTTCTCTCGGGACAGCGACCGAACCTCCCGGGAGAGGTTTCCTCGCTGCTCCAAAGGCAGCTCCCATACGATGGCAGCAGAGGCCCGCAGCTGCTTTAAGGGAATTTTTGCCCGCTTTTTTTATTTTTTTTTTCCCCAGAAGACAGTTTGTTTTGGTTTTGTTCCTGTTCTGATTTTTTTTCTTTTTTTTCTTTTTTTTCTTTTTTTTTTTTATTTCTCTTTTTTCTCAGGAACTTCATCAAAAGAAGAACTTTCCTTGGCAAAACCGAAGCAGAAAAAAAAATCAAAAAATCACCCTCATATGTAAGCATGTGGCATGGTCTGATTAATCAACAAGAGCGGGGTTGCCATGATGATGTAACAGTGACTGCAATATTTTGGCTGAAAAGGTAAATCAGGCAAATGTGCAAGAATAATGTGCTTGGATTTGAGCAGAATGAGCCAAGTAGAGCCTGCAGATGCATTGTCCCTGTTTCTATTTCCACCCGGGACAGCAGGGCCTGGCTGGATATCTCTCCAAGAAATAGCATCCTGCCTCCCTAAATCCTTCCCAAACGCTGCTGGGTGGAATCAGGGATCATTCTGTTCACCCCTCACCATCTTTTTGCTGTTTGCACCTCTGTGTTCCACCACGAATAGAAAACAGATACTCTCAGACCAGAAGTAACCAGAAATCACCAGATCCCACTGAGGAAAAAAAAAAAATATATATAATTTGGGGGTGTATCTGGAGTATCCTGGGGCACCTTTTTGGAGCCTGAGAGTGGTTTAAGGACTTCCTGAGGCTGCATCCTGTGTTTAACAGGCAGAGCTGGACCTGCATAAACACTGGAGTGATTGGGATAATTGATGGTAACGAGGGGATTTAATTGAGTCGAGGTAAAAGTATCACCCTGTGTTTGCTTTCAGTTGGCTGAAGGAGTCACTGATGGGGTTTATTTTTCACCCCTGTAATCCAGTCAGTGTTTGTAAACTGGTTTGAGGTGACGGGATGAGGAGTAATAAGGGGAAAATTGAGTCGTCCCAAATTCCCGGTGTTTCTGCCGGAGCGTTAACGGCTCATTCCCTGCACGGAGCAGCCCGAGAGAGTGGGAGGAGTGGGGTGGGACTTGGATGAGTTTTAAGGTCCCTTCCAGCCCAAACCACCCGAAGAAAAGCACCAAATGTGCTGGGAGTCAAAAGAAAATGCAGGAAAAATTGCACCACTAGGACCAAAGAACAGCATCTAGCGTTCCAAAGAACAGCATCTAGCGTTCTATAAGCACGGGAAAATGGAAATAATAATGTTGATAATAATAATAATAATAATAATCTGCAGAAGAAAGACATAATTCCTCGAGTTTTGTGTCCCTTCACCTGCTGTCTTAGGCAGTAAAATTTCTTCTTCTGATCTCTTTAAATCGAATTTCCCCCTGCTTGCCAAATGTTTCCTCCCTCTGAAGTGTTATTAAGAAGCTGAGCTGCACCCTTTCATTTTTTTTCTCTTAAAAAAAAAGCAGTTTAAGGCTTGTTAGAAAATGATAAAAATATATGATTAATGGGATTGTTGACTCATCCAGCACAGGCTCTGCTGTGCTCTGTGTGAGGATACACAGGGAATTAAGGCACTGTTTCCTCTCATCCTGCTTAATGAATTCTCTGGATAAAAATCACCACGTCCTCCTTAGCAGGCATTTTTTAAGGATTTCTGCCAGAGCAGGGCTGGTGGGTGGCAGAGGGATAAGAAAGGGCAGGGATGTGTATTCCCAGAATCCCAACCCACAGGGGTTTGATCCTCTGAGGAGCTGATGAGACTTTGACACGAAGTCTCATTTTGTTGGTGTTCTGCTCGTGGAATCGTGCGGGGATAGGGATGAGATGCAGCCGGAGGAATTAAAAAAAAAATGGGGAAAAAAGGAAGAAAAACCCAGAGTTTCCAGATGGCCTCATTCCTCTCGGGATCATCGCTGGCTGTGTGGGGGCAGGAGTGGGTTTAATGTCGTTTTCTTGCCTCTCCCACCTCGTTTTGGACAGTGGTGGTGGCTGAGACAAAACTGTCTCTGTCCTTCCACCCTGCCCCGCTTCCAAGGGTTTTAAAATGCTTGGAAGTGCATTAAATCCCGGAGCTGAGGGAAGGTGCCCTGTGGAGGAGGTGCTGAGGCAGGAGGAGCTGAGGGATTCCTTCAAGGTCGTTTGGAAGATTCCAGAGGCAGAATCCCAAGTCCCAGCTCTTGCTTCCTGCCTTCAGGGGACGCTCCTAAACGTTGGGATGGAGGGAATGTGAGAGTGAAAGAGGGAAGGCAGGGATGGGCTGGATGCAGAGGTGGAAAAAGGTGTGTCCTGGGTTTGTTGTTCATCCTTTACCTTCACATCAAACTTGTTCCTCTGCAGTTGCCAAATTATTCCCGAGGATCTGGCCTGTGTGTTTTCCCAGCCTGCTCCTCCCACCTAAATATCCCATATATTTCCCCTTATCTCTCCAGCTTTTCTCCATCTTCCCATCCTGCAGAAAAACAAGAGACCAGCTCCCCCCCCCAAAAAAAAAAGCAGCTGATTGCTAAGAATTCCTGAGCATCCCGTGAGCTCCCGTGGTCGGAGGAGGAGCCGAGGGAGCCTGGAACTGGAGCTTTTCCCTTCTCCTGCTTTTTAAGATGCAACGTTCAGCCCCAAACAGATGGGAGCCTGTCAGCACAACACAGGGATAATCACCAACGGAGCCATGGGAAGCTTGGGAACAGCTCAGAAGCTGCTCTGCTTTGTCATCTGAGCAGTTCTCGGGGGCTGAGAACCCCGGGGGGGGCTGGAATTCCTTTGGAGAAACCCCAAGGAAAACCCTGGCTTTGTGGGGGCTGCAAATCCTCTCCAAAGTGACTTGTCCTGTCCAGGGAGGGAGAATGATCCAGCCTGGAACAGAGGGATTCAATTAAATCTTAATTAACCCGATGATTGCTTCAGGCTTCTGGTTCGGAATCACAGGATCATGGAATTGTTAAAGTTGGAAAAGACCCTTTGTGATCATCAGCTGAGCACCACCGTGTCCCAAAGTGCCACATCCACAGGTTTTTTGGGCCCTTCCAGGGATGGGGGCTCCTCCCAACCCTTCCCAGGAAGACAATCCCACGTTCCCAACGCCAAATCTCATGGAATAGGATCACCCCCATCTCATGGAATAGGTTTTTGAGGATCACACCCAAACTGGTGCATCTGTCGTAGCTGCCAGACCCCTCCAGGCACCCCAATCCCAGAGCCTCATTTATTTTTTTTGGTGGATTATCCCCACCTCCACCAGCTGGAAAACAAGGAAGGAAGGAGTTAAGAAACCGTCACCTCGGGGTCTGTTATTATTCCATGGGGTCTGTAAAGTGAAGGAGTTAAAAAATCCCTCAGGAATCATGGAAATAACCCTCCAGGATGGCACCAGGGAGGTGCTTTCTGCAGCATGAAACCCACCATTATCCTTAAAAGAACAGCAAACCTGCTCTTTTCAGTCCTCAAAAAAAGCAAATATAAAAGGCTTTTTTTTTTCCTTTTTTTCCCCCCCTCCCAACCTTTTATCCTGGAATTTTATCAGGGATGTGTTTTCTTTTTTTTTTTTTTCTGCAGGGGAAAAGGGGTTTTCGTGTGTTCTGCTGGAGGTTTTTTCGGGGTTTAAAAAGAGGTGACAAAATCAATTTTTATTCCAGGCAAGGAAGGGGACCAGTGGAATTGGGCTCAGGAAAATTGCTGCCTGCCCTGACCTACTTGTTAAAAAGGAAAAAAAAAAAAATAAAAGGTAAGAAAAACAAGTGGAAAATGTTCACAATTGGCTTCTCAGGTTCTTCCTCAGCCTTTTGTGAGGGGAAAATTGTGGGAGGAGATGGAGGTTGGTGCAGGATCCTCCCGTGGCAGCTGAATGGAAGTGTGCAGGTGGTTCCTGCTCCCTTGGATCCAGCCTTTTTTTTTGGGATTGTACTGGTAATTATCCCCCCCCACCACCCTCTCATCTCTCACCTCTGCCTTTGGGGAGGGGGAAAAAAAAAACCCACAACATCTTTTTGGGTGGATGGGGGGTCAACACACAGGGAATTCCCCTCCTTTCCCTGCCACTATCTCCCAAAAATTCCTGATTTCTCCACGAGAAATGAAAAAAAAAAAACCAAAACCCTCAGCTTTTCCTTCCTAAGCAAGGCAATAAATCCATTTAATACCCAACCAGGGGAGGAACCAGGAGCCCAAATTCCCTGCTCCCACTTGTACCCAGAGCTTCGTTTCCCAGCACTTGGAAAAAAAATGCAGATCCAGAGCATCTATTTGAGGTTTTTATTCCTCCACCCACGGGCCCTGCTGGAACAATCTGCTCCCTTCTTTGCTGTCACTGCCATTAATTATGGCTCAAAACGCTGCTTTGGACCCGAGGTTGCATTTGCAGAGCACAAATCCTTGTTTATTTGCATGGCTGAGGTATTTTTCCCCCTATTTGTGGGCTGTTGTTTGGTTTGAGAGCTGTTTGTTGGGAGCTATTTAATTTTTTCCTTATGTGTGTGTTATAAAGTATTGACTTATATATGTGTGTGGGGGTATAAATGGAACATATATCTATATATATATATTAAAAAATGGAATATATATATTAAAAATGGAATTTATATATTAAAAAATGGAATATGTATATTAAAAATGGAATTTATATATTAAAAATGGAGTTTATATATTAAAAAATGGAATTTATATAAAAATGGAATATATATAATGGAATATATATATAATGGAATATATATAAATGGAATATACATATAAAAATGATCCCATTTATATATATATATAATATAATGGAATATATATATAAATGAATATATATATATAATGGAATACATATATAAATGGAATATAAAAATATATATGTGGAATATATATATATATATAAATTGAGTATATGTAGAAATGGAATATATGTAAATAAGGTAAATGGAATATATATGAAATGGACATTAAAAAATGGGACATATATAATAAACTGGAAAATAAAATTGAATAGGTATAAATGGAATATATATGTATAAATGGAATATATATATAAAAACGGAATACATATATAAAAATTGAATATATATAAAAATGGAATATATATAAAAATGGAATATATATAAAAATGGAATATATAAAAAAATTGAATATATATATATATATATAAAAATGAAAAAATATATATATAGTTTAATTATAAATCCGCTAATACTCCACTCAGAGAAATGGAACAAGGCACCAGGACAGGAGAATTCTTTTATCCTGATTAAATTAACTCCTGTTTTTATTGTGTTAACACAGTTTATCCCAGCCTGGAAAAGGCTCCTGAGGAAGAGGGGGATGAACAGGCTGTGATGGGCTTGGAGAGGTGAAAGGGAAAATGGGAAGAAGTGGATATATTATATATTTTCCTAATGGAAATAAATGGATACCTAAACCAGCAAAGGAAACCTGAGTGTGGAGGGGTCTCAGATAATGACTTTTAAAGTGCTTTCTGTATTTGAAATAGTTGGGGGCTGGTGCAGAGATCAAAACACTAAACCTGAACACTGGGAGGAAGGCAAATGTTCTGAGGAAACTCCACTGGGCAAGATGAGAAAAAAAAATAAAAGAAATCCTCCCAACAAGCCAAACAGAATAAAGGAGAAGCAAATGACAGTCTTAATTCAAAGCTCAATTACAGGAGTTGTGAGCCCTGGGAACTCCTCCTGCTAATGATGTGTCTGTGCTAAGATTGGGGAAAAGTGCCTTAAAATAAAATAAAATAAAAAAAATAAAAAAAAGAAGAAATCCCCGTGGTTTTTTTTTTTTTTTTGCAGCATCAATTAAAAGACTCCGAGATGAAAAGAATTCCCATCCTGCTCCAGGGCTCACAAGCACTAATCCTGCCAACCAAGGAGTCCAAAAGGAAGAAGGTTTTTATTTCATATCCAGACTCTTATTCCATGCAGGTAAATCCATAGTAAATACATTGCAGTAAAAGACAGTTAAAGTGCCTTTAAAGTCCCTCAAAAGAGTCCAAACTGTGCTGGAAATTCAAGTATGTGGAAAATAGGCCTTTAGTTATTAGGAGAATATTTTTATTTTTTTTTTTTTTAAATGTTGAAAATGGTGGGGGGTGAGGGAGGTGGTCAAGCCCCCAAATTTTCCTGGGAGCAGAACCAAATCCCAGGTCTGGGAAAAACCTCGGGATGAGGGGTGAGAAAAGCAAAATCAAGCTGGTTCCACCGGAATCCAGAGGGAAAAACCTCAGGATGAGGGGTGAGAAAAGCAAAATCAAGCTGGTTCCACTGGAATCCAGAGGGAAAAACCTCGGGATGAGGGGTGAGAAAAGCAAAATCAAGCTGGTTCCACCGGAATCCAGAGGGAAAAACCTCAGGATGAGGGGTGAGAAAAGCAAAATCAAGCTGGTTCCACTGGAATCCAGAGGGAAAAACCTCGGGATGAGGGGTGAGAAAAGCAAAA